TAAAAAAATTCAACTTTGCTCTATTTTAAATGAATTTATTGGAAATGTTATTTAAAAGTGATCTCAGAAATAGTTTTTAGGAACAGACAGACGGATTGAAAGACACTCTGAGGGTAAATCTATATCCGTCCCTGGTCCTAACCAGAATATATTTTTTTCAAAACTAAAAAGGAGATAACTCTTGAAATAAAAATGTTAGACCTCTAAACATTGTCATGCATGATGTGTATGTAACAAAGAACAATTATATAAAGTTTAAAGAAGATAGCATTTATAGTAACAAAAAAGAAAATTGAAAAAAAAAATACAATTTTCAAATATACCAAACATATGGATGTTTGCTCTGAAACAACTGAAACACATTAGAATTTTAGAAATAGTATCAGATTATTGATGTAAATATGGCTTCCATGTTGCGTTTAACGGTGTTGGAGCTATTATAAGCGGGTTTCATAATATTTGTCCTCAAGAAATTTTGTACTTTAATTGTACCTATTTAGGAACATATATAATGCGTTCATTTCTCAACAAAAAGGGTACATTGTATATCGCTGCTTATAGCAAATAATGTGGCAATATATTGCTCCAGGGTTATCTTAATAGCTTTTCTCTTTATTTACATGTACCCATTTCTCTTTGTGTTCTTTCCATCTTAGACACTCAAGCCGTATGTAGAAATATCAGACAGCTCATGTATAATATGCAATTTACAAACCAATATCTTTGCAATTTGCCGAAACTTAGGAACCATGTCCCACAGCATGTATGGGGTACCTTTCCCTTGTGTACCTGCTCGTGACGACATCTTCTATACGATTTGCCATAATGCCGGTGTAACGTTGTAAAGTGACCCTCATAGAATAATGACCCCCCGGTCATTATTTTATATAAAATAATGACCCCTTTCTATAAAATACTGACTCCCCTTATAAAATAATGACCCCCCGATTTTATCTGTAAAATATTGACCCCTCCCACTTAGCCTGTTACTAACATATCTATATCAATTCAAGTCACTGTCGTGTTTCTATGGCTTTTATATTTGTTGTTGTTGTTGTTGTTTTTTCTTCTGGAGCCGCTGCATGTTACTGCTGCAGAAGCTGCTGTGTCTACATCTATTGAAATGAAATATAAAATTGCTTCCATTTGAATTTCATTTAAATTATCATCATTGTAATACAATATACATAAGTCGCTTTAACGTATATGATTCAACTTCAAAGACAACATTGTTCTACTTCATCTGACGTTAGATAGCCTTTGTTCATACCGTGGAGGCATTGCTTAAAACGAATGTGTTAAAAATGCAAGGCTTTGAGGAGCTATTTAAGCAGTCACTGTTCGTGCCATGACTTACATCAAAGTCCATGATGTCACTGAGCGGTGTTTTTTTATGTTTTATGCAGACTGCATCATTTCTAAAAATAGTTCCTTTGATTTACCTCAGAAAAGCCGCTCGTTCAACATCAAAGAAAACGACAGCGACACCGAAAGCAGTTCTACGTAAACGCGTGTATATATAAAGGTCTGTGGTAAGCAGTCAGTCCAACCTTGCAGCATGGACGAGAAAGATTACACAGATGTTCTAGAGTTTGTAAAAAATGGGAAGTATCCCGTTTCTGTAAAAGACAAGAACAAAAAGAGGAATTTTCGTAGAAAGTGCAGAAACACATAAGAATTTCCGATTTCTGTAAAGATATTGAATTACTTAATATGGTGTGATGAAGTATTTAACGATATTATCAGCACACTATTTAAATATAAAATATACAATACATGTATATATTCCATATATTCCAGGAACACCTTTTTCTGCGTCTGAAATACAAAAAAAAAACAAGAACTGCTTTTATTTCCAAAATAATTGTCAAAATGGTATGAAATTTTATGTACGTAATTGAAACATATATTTTGCTGGTGAAATAAATTCTATATAATGTTCATGTTTGTATTTTATTTTTTGTATTGTAATTATTTAAATATTTTTACGCTGATGTACACACATATGTTATCAAAGCAGAATACTATTAAGATGAGAATGTATAGCAAGCAAACTGAATTCATTTAATTTAATACTTCATTCTACTTTTCACTTTCAAATATTATATTTGTATGATTTCAAAGACAGGTTCCTGAAGCGAGAAACAAGCACAATTCAATGAAAAACTTGACAAAATAGGACAGGCAATAAAATCGTTCGGCCATTGTACTCATTAAATTTGGTACGACCATTGTACTCGTTTTTTAAAAAGATGCACAACTTCGTTATGCAACTTTATAAAGGAAGGAAATAGTTCATGACGGGCAAACTTGCAATTGTGCTCAAGATGTCATTGCTAATTTTGCTCAAACTGCGTTTCTTTTACTGTAAACAACTTATTTTAGTACCTGTTCGGCCATTGTACTCATCACCCAAAACAACTTTTCGTCAGAATATATCTAAGATTTGAAATATGCTTTATACAAAAGCTATGTTTATATTGTAAAGGAAATCATCAAGAATAAACGATGATTATTATCTATGTATTTTACAATACTGTTTTTAACTTCAAGACAAGATGTTCAGAGGGGCCTCCATGGCCTAGTGATTAAGAATGCAAAAATCATATCGCTTTCTCCTCATCAATGTGTGATCGAATTTCATTAGGTACTTTGGATTCTTCCATTTGAGGGAGCTATACAGCTAGCTTGTGGAGGGTTGGTGGTTGTGCCTGTGCCTGAAATAATGCAAGAATTAATTAAGGGACACATGAGGTCGTCTTCCATGAATAAAACTGGAAAGATGTCTATTGACCTTTATAGTGTTGGTTTGTCTAAAAACCCAACAAAACTAACAAATAAACAAAAGAAAGAAAAAAATTAGAGATTAAGAATGTGTCATTTGATATGCCAGCAAACATTACTTTGATTTGTTTGGCTAAGTCATTAAAGTCTTAATCATTTGATAAAATTTGTGGCGATTTATAAATACTTTTTACGTTATTTCCAGGTGATAGTGCTGGACACAGATATCACTTTTGCGTCCGATTTTGCCGAGTTGTGGAAACTATATACAGTGCTAGCAAAAGAGGTATATGTCACGTTGTTTTCGTAAATTGTATATCATGCTGTATATTGTAAACTCATTGTCCCGATACATTAATGTTAACATATAGAAACATGTTCTTCAACTAGACTAACTTAATAATTTTTAACATATGACAGTTGTTCCATGGCTGTGTGGTTGAGTTTACTGACTGTCAGTCATTTTCTTTGTTTTGTGGGTTCTTCAGAAGACTTGAGATTCTTTCAATAGAGGGAGCTATCAAGTCACCTTTGAAATTCTAAATATTGGAAACTTAAAGGTGACCTGACACAGCAAGATTGAAAGTGTTGTCAGTCCAGGTTGAAAGTGTCTGTTCATAGTTGGCAGTGTAAGTTCAGATACCCATTTATGCCTTATGTTTGATGCTATTTGACCAGTTTTTTTTATTTCTGTGCCATGAAACCCAAACAAACAAAGGCGATAATTTCCTCTCTAGTCAAAGTTCCAGTTGAAGATTTTTTTATAAATTCTGTATTATATAGACTGGTATGTTTTTGTTGTTATAGGGTCTTGGACTTGTAGAGAACCAGAGTGTCTGGTATCTGGGTAAAATCTGGAAAAATCATGCCAGCTCTTTAGTAAGTAGCAGATCAATAGTAATGCAAGATCATGAAAACATAATTATTGACTGTTCTCATATATATCTTATTTTTTCATATCATGCCTGTGTCATATCATGCCTGTATTTCTTTTAAAAGAAGATTGTCATTATTAACATAAACAACTAAATGAAAAAGTAAAATGGCCTTTTTGACACAAGTCTGGGATATCTACATTATAATTCTAAAAGAAAAAATTATGTTCTGATTCTATATATAAAGGTCTATATAAATGTTGTGTTAATGCTAGTAATATACCTTTTAGGGTCGAGGATTCAACACTGGTGTTATGTTAATAAACTTATGTTACGCAACATTGATTGGATGGTAATGTGGAGACAAGTTGCAGAAAAAGAACTGATGACTATGTTAGCTACCTCATTGGCTGACCAGGTATATGACAATGTTAGCTACCTCATTGAGTATATAACCATGTTAGCTATCTTGCTGGCTGACCATGCAGGTATATAACCATGTTAGTTACCTCACTGGCTGACCAGGTTTATGACCATGTTAGCTACCTCACTGGCTCACCAGGTATATAACCATGCTAGTTACCCCACTGGCTGACCAGGTATATATCCATGTTAATTACCTCACTGGCTGACCAGGTATATAACCATGTTAGCTACCTCACTGGCTGACCAGGTATATAACCATGTTAATTACCTCACTGGCTGACCAGGTATATAACCATGTTAGTTACCTCACTGGCTGAACAGGTATATAATCAGGTTAGCTATCTTGCTGGCTGACCAGGTATATAACCATGTTAGTTACCATACTGGCTGACCAGGTTTATGGCCATGTTAGCTAGCCTCACTGGCTGACCAGGTATATAACCATGTTAGTTACCTCACTGGCTGACCAGGTATATAACCATGTTAGTTACCTCACTGGCTGACCAGGTATATAACCATGTAAGCTACCTCACTGGCTGACCAGGTTAATGACCATGTTAGCTACCTCACTGGCTGACCAGGTATATAACCATGTTAGTTACCTCACCGGCTGACCAGGTTTATAACCATGTTAGCTATCTTGCTGGCTGACCATTGCTGGCTGACCAGGTATATAACCATGTTAGTTATCTCACTGGCTGACCAGGTATATAACCATATTAGTTACCTCACGGGCTGACCAGGTATATAACCATGTAAGCTACCCCACTGGCTGACCAGCGTTTATGACCATGTTAGCTACCTCACTGGCTGACCAGGTATATAATCATGTTAGTTACCTCACTGGCTGACCAGGTATATAACTGTAACCCTGGTTCTTAATAATCTTTTCATGATTATGATAAAGACAATAAATTTCATCAGAGTTCAGATAGTCTTTATTTTCTTTTCAGGATAACTCTAACATACTTATTGATCACTCATACTGTTTATATTTACATTTTTCCAATTAATTATTCATGTGTATACAGGAGTATATACATATCACCCTGAAATATACAATAGCATATATTTACTAAACAATATAACGATTACTTAAAATGACATATAGCATTGCAATATTATATTGGTAAATGTTATCAAAGAATAACTTAAATTGCCATTCGTACTTGTGGTTCGATACTTAATGAACGTACTTGTGGTTCGATCCTAAATGAATTAAAATAAAAACATTACATATAATCCTTTGCACATTTAACAATGATATATGTAAAAAATAAGAAACAATATAACATTAAGAATTACTTACAGGATCAATGGGATCCTTGGTATTTCCACTTAAACATACATCACACACTCCCCATTCTGGTGTTTGTAACTGCATGCTGTGAATGTAAAATTATTGTTAGCAATAGTGACAAATAGAATAGATCATCTGACAGTCAAAGGACAAAGGGGTCAAAGACGCGGGGTTTGGCGGGAAATTCTTCAGAACCGACTGAACAATAAATTCAACCGAGAAATAAACAAATAAACAAAACCGTTTACAATTCAATGGCCAATACAGAGATAAACAAACTTACAATACTAAAACCTTCTTCCAACAAAATATAACCATGAATTTACAGAAGCAAAAGGTGACAAAGGCTTCACGCATCTACCTCCGCCAACAACTGATAGAGAATGACAAAAGCGCTCCGAATGAAACTGCGCTAAACTCTAGATACCGTACTATACGGTAAAAAAACCAATACCATACCATGTCACTAAATTTCCGACCTGTCACATAACCATGTTAGCTACCTCACTGGCTGACCAGGTATATAACCATGTTAGTTACCTTACTGGCTGACCAGGTTTATAACTATGTTAGCTACCTCACTGACTGGCTGACCAGGTATATGACCATGTTAGCTACCTCACTCGTTGACCAGGTATATGACCATGTTAGCTACTTCACTGGCTGACCAGGTATATGACCATGTTAGCTACCTCACTGGCTGACCAGGTATATGACCATGTTAGCTACTTCACTCGTTGACCAGGTATATGACCTGAGGTTCAGAGGTTTTGCATTGCCAGTAATTCAGCATGTAGTAAACAATATTTTATTGAACTGAATAGAAAAGTGCATGTCAAAAGTATGACAATTTCATCTAAATATTGCTAATTTGTTGTATAATAGCCTCATGAAAACCACATCCCTTCCCCCCAACTCTTTTATTTATATATTTTATAAAAATATATATGTATTTTTAGTGTTATAAACGTGACGTCATTTGCGCTATATATAAACATAGCGTAAAAGCGCGCGAATGTTAGCGTTACACTATAAACGTGTCAATGAAAAATGGCTCTTTTTAACAGTTTACCGTTCTTATTTTATATATGTGATAAATAGAATATTATATTCGTGTAGATTCAATACAAAATTTATTGAACTCGTTGAATAAAACAATATTATGCTCGCCAGAGGCTCGCATAATATGATTTTATTCAACGAGTTCAATAAATTTAGTATTAAATCTACACTCATTCAATTTCCTCTATATAAATACATATGCAGTGTAATATTAAACTATTTGTCATTGGTCTAAATTCTAAAATGCTAACGGAAATATTAGACTGATTTTACTAGTGAAATAAGTATCCTTAAGTTGTTAATTTTTTGTATATAATTAAGCTACAGAGTATATATTTTAGGATATTATAAACACAGTATTAAAGAAGAATCCTCATCTAGTGAAGACGTTACCATGTCAGTGGAATGTTCAGTTAAGTGATAATACAAGAAGTGAACATTGTTATTCTGAAGTCACAGATTTAAAGGTTTGTACAGTTCACGTATACTCTGATGTTATCAATGAAATGTAATTATGTAATACATGAAATTAGTCCAGTCTAGTTTGTTATTTGACTAGATTTTCATAAGGGAGACATTTACATTACAATACATAACATAACCTGTTGGGATTTTCTCTGTAATTTTTGGAGACTCATTTCCTATATTTAACCAATTTTTCTGATTTCCCAATTTGGTGTTTACAGGCTGTACACATTCCCAAAAGTGTTTAGATATAAATGACAAGAAATAAATTTACATTTTACTTTACTTCAGATAATTCACTGGAATTCACCAAAAAAGTTGAAGGTAAAGAACAAACATATTGAATATTTCCGAAACTTATACCTGACTTTCCTGGAATATGATGGTAATTTATTACGGAGGGAATTGTTCGGTTGTGGAACTACAAACTCTATGGATCCTGTACAGGAACAGGTATTGTTTAAAATATATTTGATAACAAAATAATGTAAAATTATGTTGCATGTATAGTTTAACCTGCTGAATTTCTTAAATAGCTTTTTCCAGTTTTTTTTTTTTTCGGAACTGTTCATTTATAAGTTGGGGATATAAAGATGAAAGTCTAAAGTTATATCATAACATATAGATTATGACTACACTTATATAGGCTGGCCTAGCTTTGTTCTGGTAGCAAAGGCTAATAACTTCTGGTGCTGGCAGGTTAATTAGGAAATAGATATCAATTCTGAGTGCATTGTTGTAGAATAATGCACGGTTTGAGTTCAAATGCGTAGTAATATAATCACGAAGGCCGATAGGCCTGAGTGATTAATTACAAAGCATTTGAACGAAAAACGTGCATTATTATACAATAATGCACGAAGAATTGATATCTATTTCCATTCTAACACGTCAAGAAAAATTAGAATTATTATTATAAAGTTGGACTTTATGTTTGGTGGTTCAATTTGTTTTCGCCTGAGAGTTTCCAATAGAAACGTTCTTTAAAGGCTGTTCCAGTGGGTTGAAAGAAACTGTCGTTAAATCTACCGTGTGTAGAAACATTTTGAGAATAACGAATTTTGAAAACGTTGGAAAAACTTTGTTTGTTTATTTTATATCACTTTATAATTTTTCAAGCGAAATACAAATTATTAAAAGTGAAATAAATGTAAAACTTAACTCGTTTGCGACATTAAAATAGCGTACTTGATTTGATTGTTTTGCACGTGCTGTTTGGTGCTACATTGTGACGTCACGTAAACAACACTTAAAACGTCTGTACATCGTTAACGACTGAATTAAAGATATTGGTGTTCGGATTCATTTTCTTAGTTAGACCATTTTCTTCATTCTAGATAGCTTTCACAACAAAATTCGACAAAAAATGATTTAATTTATAAGATTTTTAAACAAAATGGCGCCCTCAATGTGAAAATACATAGGGAGGTAATAAGAACGGCGAGTGCATTGTTGAAGAATAATGCATGCTTCAGGCCTTCTTTGTTTATATAGAAAAAAAATCCGATAGTGTTAGAATGTATAATATATTTCCTGAAGGGGAGACATGTAATAATGTACCCAAAGGTCAGTGGTTCCACACATGCTCACTTGTACCTGAAATAATTAATGAAGGGCCAGCCTATTTTCTCCTCCACATGTAAAACTGTTTAGTTGCTATATGACCTATACAATTAAACATGTTGTCTCTGTTTTTAATACATCAGTTGTGAATTTCTCAGTTTATTTAACAATTTGCTTAAAGATTCAAATGTAACATATATAGAAGGACTGTATTATGATAATAATGCTTTGACATGTACCCTCCAGTCATGTTGATCCTCTTCAATGAAAAAAAAATTGATAGCTAGTTTGAGAAAAGTTTTAAAGTATGTTTAAATCAAGAAAAGTTTGAGGTTGTTGTTACTACTACTATTCGATAACTATTTATTCGAATACCTAGCATTATCCGGAGGAGTTTAAATTCAAACCAATAAATTCAAACAGAAAATAAATAGTTGTATTTTGTCCAGATTATTTAGTTAGTAGTTTGGCCACTTAGAGTTGTGTTACTGTTAAGTATGAAATATCAGTGTCATTGATAACTATTTTTTTTTTCATATATCCTTATTATTTTATAAACAGATCAGTAAAATACATGAGGATGATGAATGCTATGATTTTAGAAGAGAGCGAGTTATAGAGCATAGAACACATCTGTATTACCTAGATTATCAATATAAACCTGACGAGTGGGATGTTACCTTAGTTGCTCAACTTAGCATGGACAGGCTTCAGTGGTTATGTCAATGTGCTAACTTTTACCTTCAATTCACCTTTGCTTTCTTGGGAAATTTTTTCAAAGGTATTCATTTAATAAGGCTTGTTTTTCCAGTGTAGGAAAAAGGTATATGCCCAGTTTACTCTTAGTGTACAGTTAATATCCCATTAAGAAAATAAACACCGTGTTTAAAGGCCCTTAGTTGCAATTTTTATATACTTCCACTTGTGGCTTTTATAGATATTACAGTTATATTTATTATTGAAAAATTCTTATTTCATAAGACATATTAAGTGGGCATCTATGGTCCAGTGGTTAAGGTCGTGGATTTCAAACAACTTGCTCCTTACCTTTTTGGGTTCGAATCCTGCCAAGGATTTAGATTCCAGCTGCACTAAGGGGAAGGTTAGTGGTTCTATTTAGGCACCCATTTGTGCCTGAAATAATGCAAGAGGGCATTTTTGAGGTCTTCCTCCACTAGTGCAGCTGGAAAGTTCACCATATAACCTTTAAAGTGTTGGTGTAACATAAAAAGCACATTAAAGTTAAAAAAAATGACCTGATATAGTCATTAAAGATTGCACCCTATTTAGATCTTATTACAACCCTAGAATTAAATAGTAAAGTTTTAACATTTACATTTCTTTAAAATTTCTTTTATAAGTTTATTTTATTATAGATGTTAGAGACAAATGTAGACAA